AAACGTATAATATTCTTTATTCTCAGGCCTCTTAATTTTACGGAAGGAAAAGTATTGAAGGTCTGCTCATAGCTCATTTAATTATTAAAATATTATCTCTAATTAAATATTAAATATAAAAAATTATGAAAATATTTATTTTCAAATAATAGAATTTATTTTAATGAGCAAATAGAATGAGCTTATATAATTAAAACCATTACAATTCAAATATTTATATATAAATCCTAATAAATTCAATTTTTAACTAAATATAGAAAGTGAAACTGAAATAAAATAAATCAAACCATATTAATGTAAATAAATTATACTAACTGTTAAAATTTATAACTTATCTAATTGCAATAATATTTCTAAAAAATTTTAAATCCCAAATATATTGATAAATTACATCATATTAATAACAAAGTTAATTGTGTAGCGTTTACGCTAAGTCTTTCAAACGCATGTTTAAGCTATTTTGGATTACAAGAATAACGTGAATAAATTGATATATTGAGTTACATAAAATACGGCATTTATTATTTTTGTTTATTTTATTAAAAAAATTAGAAAGTGGAGAGAGAGAGAGAGAGAGAGAGAGAGAGAGAGAGAGAGGACGTGATACATTGTGGCTTGGACAAATTGTATTAGTCGATAATAATAAACTGTAGTTGACTAATAATTGACGTGGAATGCAATATATGGATGTCATTATTCAATCTTTTCAATGATTTTCTCTCCAAGTCATCGATAATAATAATAAATGAGTCTTTAATAATGCTGAATGATTTTTTTATAATGCGTCTTTCCCCTAATTATTGTTAATTTACTAGCTACGCCCTGTTCTTTATAATCATTATATCAGAAGAATGAGAGAATCAGCTCGATTATTATTTTATTAAATTTTATCATATGTATATGTGTGTGCGCGTGTGTGTCTTTTCCGCGTTATCTTCCTTCTATATAGTTATTATTTTTTAATATCGTAATAAATGATTTTACGACATCATTGATGTGATAATAAATTATTTTAGCCTTTTACTATTTCCAATACTTTGAGTTTTTTTAATTTAGTTTATCCATATATCCATTTTTTATAATTCATGCATTGTTATGAATTTTCTCGTTTTCAAAAATTGTCTTTGCATACGACGGTTTATTGAATTATTCTTACTTCTGCAGCTTCCGCCATTCGCAACTATTATCTGTATTTTGTTTATTTCGTATTTTATATTGCCTGAGTACGGTCTACGACATGTTGATGTGGCCTCTTTGAAAGATTATATTTTTCTGTTATTACAATATATTATTTTGTTTATATAGTTTATATATTGGTTACTCCTATTTACTTTAGTTTATTAAGTAACTACCACAGTTCCTCGTTTCGATTTTACTATGTTCTCCTTAATCAACAAAACATCTTTCAATACTCTGTATTCATATTACTTGTTTCATATCGTTGTATCATTTTTTATTCATTTGTTCACGTATGAAAGTGCGTTTACTTTATAATGTCGCTTTAATTGTTTTTTTTTTATCGTACCACTGTATCGTACATTCTTTCCGTATTAATTAACTTTTTTTGCTGTTCTTGACTTATGCAGATATATTTTTGGTGGCTACCCGAGTCAAGCTTAATCTGTGAAATAATCTGTTTTATCCTGATTATAATTTTTATTCTCTGATTCTGATTATATGCATATATAGTATGCGTCTATGATTATCAAATATCTAAGAGTAATAGACATTAGAGAATAGAATAGACATTCATTTAAAATCTTGCATGTGGCTGCACTTGAACATTAACTTATTTATTTAATGTTAGTATATTTAAAATATCTTCATTTGATTATATTGTTTAATGCTATACATTAATAATATTATTATTCATATATTTGTCAGTAAGGATGTAAGGATGTAAGGATTATTTAATGATTAATTTTTATTTATTTATATTTTTGTTAAAAAATTGTATGCTTATAGTAATACAAGCGTGTATTGAAAAATAATTTTCAACAACAGTTAATATTGTCGCATTATCGTCTGTTTATGATTAACATGATTTATAGTACGAGAAGTACTGCAATGAAAGAAAGCGATATATTATAAATGTCATTTTCTTCCACGTCAATATTATCACATTATGATGTCTATGTTTTTATCGACGGTTTATTTTCGGTAATGCTGAACAATGATTTTACATTAAGATGCTAAATGTTATTACTTTCTCCTCCACTTTGTGTCATTATTATATAATAAATGTCTTGAAATCTCATTATAAAATTTACATGTCTCTCATTACCCATGTATGGATTGGGTAGGCGGAAAAGGGGGATTCAACATTATCTCTTTTTACGTGTCTCAAGCTTTTATTCTCTTATCTTGGATAAAACTACATATAAATATGTATGTGTATGTAAATGTCAATTCCACGTGCATTATTTGTTTTATATATCTAGCACTTACTTAAATTTCTATATGCGTTTTGAACATTTTTTTACCAACTAGTGGCTATTTCATCTATATGATATTTTATATTATTTCGTTTATTATAATAATCTATGCTTCATTAGATTTAGCTCTATTTATAAATGTGTATTATATAATTATTCCTTTAGTTCAGAAAATGCGATATTCTTTTGTTAGGCAAAAATGTTGGTAACTTTATATATATATATATATATATATATATATATAACAATAATAATATATTTATATATTTATATATTTATATATGATGGATTGAAACTATTGATAAATAAAATTTCAATAAAATTTTTCTATCTATATTTACCCAATTATAAGTATTATTTCAGTTTACGATGTATTTATTATTAGTAATTCATTCAGTTTTTTTATTTATCTTTTCTTTTATATTTGTAAATAAAAAATTTAGCCTTTCTAATAGAGTATATTATTATGTAGATGTATAAAAACTCAACTTATTGTAAAATATAGAATGGATTGAAAAATTGACATTAAACATTGTAGAATTTAAGTTTTTTTTATTATTTTTAAGTAAACAATAACTTAATCTAAGATTTATAAATATTTTATAATATTTGTAAAATTATGAAAGAATATTCATAATGTTGTTTAGTAGTTATATTTTTATAAGTTAAAAGTCAAACTAGTTATATACAGACACACGCACGCACGCACGCACACACGCGCGCGCGCGCGCGCACACACACACACACACCCACACACATACACACACACACACAAAATAAATTAATTATCATTTAATTTGGTTATTAAATTTACCTTGCGATATTATATCCGTGGGTATAACGGTGTTCTACGAATATTATAAAATTATAATAATATTATATTACAATATTAACATATATTTTAATTAGTAGGATTATTAGAAAATTAATTTATTTAGAAAGTATAGCATATAAATTAATTATTACTTTGTCAATTATGACATTGTTTTACATTGATAAATATCACATGAAGTATTTAATAATGGATATATGATTGTGATTGATAATAATGTTGAAATATTAAAAAAATTGGTTTTAATGTGGACTTTTTCTCTGTGTTATGTAAAATTTAATAAATATTATGTAGATTTTTTAAATTATAAAACAATATAAGATAGCAATCATTGTATGTTTATGTAAGATGACCGAATCTTTTTTAATAAATTATCAATCTTACTTTACAATATACAAATTATTTTCTATACGATATATGATATACCAGTTTTAAAAAATTTTTATATGAAACTTATCAATGATTCACAATACACTTATCCTTTTTTTATTACAGATATCAATTTATAAAATGATGGAAACCGAAAAATTAAAAGTAAAATTTCGGTTTAAGTGATGATGTGGCGGCAGCATACTTGAATATCGACAGGGTAACTTTACAATGCTTTCACGTAAATGCTTTTGTTCTCTCAGAAAATTGCACAACAACTATGCTAAAACAGCCGCCCGATGTTTACGATCGCAATACCTCGTCAACGATGTTTTAGCATTTCGTGTACAAGCTCGTTTTATTCTACTGAAATCCTTTGGGTAACGTTTCAATAAAAACCGAACGATCACTTTCATCCATATGTGTGTATATATATATATATATATATATATATATATATATATATATATATACGTATATATAATATACTAAACTACAATCTAAAATGAAAAAATCCATATATATATATAATGCATCCGTAAATAGAATTTTTCTTCGTGACTAATAGATACTAAAAGATAATTAGTACAATATTTTAAGTACAAGATGTGGGTTATTTGAAATCTATTATATACACCCACATGAAAATAAAAAATTAACTGTATACATGTAGTATAAAATCCATCTGCAAAATTAAAGTCGAAATGAACACAAATATATATATATATATATATATATATATATATATATATGTACTTCTCAGACGTATTAACTTTACAATAATCTCTTGTAAATAAAAAGTGAGAAAGGAAGAAACATGCAAAGTAAATTTTCAAATGGTATTCGTATCCCATGTAATTCAGTAAAAACAATTAAAAATGATATGATTATATACAAAAGTACATTGTATATAAATAGTTTAACTAAATCAAATTCCATCGTATCATTCTATCGCATATGTATTGAAATTTATTAATTTTATTAAATGCCTCATATTTATTGCTAATTAAATAGGAAAATATATTTAGTTAAGAATATAAGTTTTGCAGAAAAGTGAATTTTTAGAATTAACGAAAATTTTGATTTGTCGAAATACAAGACAATGGTCAAATCTTTTTTAATTATATTTTTGTATTTTTTATTTTAATTTTATTTCTACTAGCAACCATAAAATGTTCTCCCCACAAAATATCGCTCGTTCAGATCCGATCCAAGTATCCCAATCTATTACGGGAAAATATATCTACAGTTTACTTTTTTGTTTATTTTAAATAAAAACTATTAGAATATAATAGCGTAAGAATGCGACAGATAAAATAAATGGTAAATCTCATTAATCCTGACTTTGAATGTATGTGTTTCAGTGACGTGCCTGGAGCCGGACTTCCTGAATCCAATGGAGAACATTACGGTGCCGAAGGGTCGCGACGCGACGTTTACTTGCGTGGTGAACCATCTCGGTGGATACCGGGTGAGTCCTTCCTCCTCCGCGAGCGGTGATCACGGTGGTGCCAATCCTCGGGTAACTATCCACATAACATGATCTAACGTGACCGCCTGCTGTAATGGATCTTGTCGACACAACTAATAATAATAATCGATTCTGCCGCACTCTCTCTCTCTCTCTCTCTCTCTCTCTCTCTCTCTCTCCCTCTCTCACTCTCTCACTCTCTCTGTCTATCTATCTCTCTATCTATCTATCTATCTATCTATCTATCTATCGTAACTCTCTCATTGCACTCTTATATGCGAGCATTTAATAATATGCCTGCACCGCAGCACTCCTTTGTAAACAGATCTAATCCAACTCAACAAAACGATCTTTGCCTATATGACCTCTCTACCTAATTATTTCTTACTTTTCTCACAAACTGTCACCTACGCACTATGTATTACTTCTGTATTTCACCCGCTGCATATTCAATACACATATTACGTATTTTATACATGCTTGTATAAGTACTTACTGCACTGACGAACGAATTATCCGATCCGCTCTACCTCAGCCCTTATTACAGCGTTCATGAGTTTGCAAATTTTGAAGCTTTCAACCTTAACTAATATTCCAATGCCATCCTTCCAAAATCTATTTGGTGCGTTCGTCTCACCTTTAATCATAATTTGATCGCTCAAATTATATTGACGATAATAAGTATAGTCGTCCGCTTTGATCTGTGAATTTAATTTTCTGCCTTTACAAAATAAAAACTATTAAATTATTAAGTTCACAAATTATTATATTATAATGCTATTGAAATATTACTAAAATTTGTAAAGCAAAAACGATGATATAGATCAACTTGTAGCTTATAGCTTGTATCGTAATAATAATAATAATAATAATAATAATAATAATAATAATAACAATAATAACAATAATAATAATAATAATTAAAAATAATAATAATAAAAAAATAATAATAAATAAAATAATAATAAATAAAACAATAATAATAAAATGATATTAGAATTTTGCTTTAAAATAAGTTAATCGTAATAGATTTGTAAAAATAACCGTTGCATAAAGATAATTGGTACAGCCTTGTGAAATGTAACTAAATTAATGATAACAAAATTATATTAAGAGAGCATTAATAATGTTAACATAATGATCGGGAATTAAATTGAATTACGAATTGCTGCATGTAAAAGAAAGGCATAGAGATAAATTTGCATCTAATATTGCGTACATATTTATCACACAGACATTTTGATGATTCTATTTAAAATCCCTGGAAATGATGCATATGACTTTGGCAAACTCTGCAAAATCATTCTAAAAAAATTGTTGATAATGTATGCACTAGAAATACACATAAAAAAAAATACACTTTTCTTGGTTATTATATTCTTCCCTCAAACTTGATTATATTGTTACTTCATTGGTCTTGAGTTTGCCTCGTAAATAAAAATACAGAGAAGTGATACTCGTCCCAACAAATAATCGCATTAGCTTAGTACATAAGCAACGACTTAAAGCACTTGAAGTTGAATGGAAATTGCATTATGACAATTTATAGCGTGATCTAACGATCATGTATTTTTTTTCCTGCATGTTGGCATTTTATTGATTATTTTTTTTTTTCTTTTATTTGGCACATTGTAAAGATAATATATATATATATATATATATATATATATATATATATATATATGTATATATAGAAAACACAGGTGCTAAGCGATTTCAGCTTAAATATCATTTGGCAGATATTATAATCAAAGGCTGTACGAGCGGCTTTAAAAATGTTTTCGTTCGCTTTTTATACTCGAAGCAAACAAATCATGTCATTTATTTTTATTTATTTACCAGCTTTGCAAAAAAAAAAAAAAAAAAAAAAAAAAATCCCGCTGAATGTAAAATTCAATCGTAGGGGGAATAGAAGAATTTTTAGTTTTCATTAATATCCTCCTGTGATAGTCGATATGTTTAATTACTGCAGCGTCATAAGGGTTGTGCACCTCAATATGACTTGAGATAATGTGGATTACACAAATGGGTATGACAATTTATTAATATCATATAAAACTTAACGAATTGTTTATATATAGTATTTAATGCTTCACTTTAATCATTTACGTTTGTTATTATCAGAAAAACATTCTATAGCTAATTTTTTGTCACAGTGAGCTTCAATGGAACCAGATATCTTTTCTTTTGTAATTTGACGTAATAGCCAAGCGAGGGTTAAATTTTTCGTACATGTAAATACAGGGCAATTGTGTTGGCCGTTTTCGTATCGGTGTTGCAAAAAAAGAAAAAAAAAAGAAATAAAAGAATCCCTTAATCGTGCATGAAGGTACATAAATAAGCGTTCCGTTACCACATATGGTTAGAAAAAATTTTCTTTTCGAGTTAAGTAGTAGGAAAGAAAATGAAAATAATTATTGATCCAAAGCACCATGAGTAATATTTCTCAACGCAAACTTAACGAAGCATGTCGCGATGCATGAAGTAAGTTACTTTTCAACGAACAAGCGTATTGCATGAGCATGACTATTCTGACAGGAGTATAATGAGTATTCTATCTAGGATATTTTTGAAAACTAATGCGTTTTGAGAAAGAAATTGCAGGGAGTTGGGACAATAAAATTTCTTTACTCACTTGTACTTTTTTCTTTAAAGTATATGAAGTTTTAAGGAATTAGTTTGGAAATACTATTTCAAGAATTTTAATGTATTTAAATTATGCAATTAAAAAGAAATGTAAATCAAAGTGATTTATGCTCGAAATTTTCAAAAAAAAAAAAAAAAAAAAAAAAAAAAAAAAAAACAGGTTTTTCCCACAATATTAAGAAGAATTTTATAATGCGTATATAAATGTAATTTTATAGACAAAGATTAAATATCATCTTTTAGGATTAATAATAATATAATTTTCCTCATTTAAATTAAATTCATTATATTTAATATTATTGCGTAATATAAAAAGGTAATTAAAGCGATTAAAGTTTATAGGAAATAAAAAATATTTTTAGATTATAGGAACAATATTTATTTATTTATTTATTTATTTATTTATTTATTTATTTTTTTATTTATTTATTTTTATTTTTATTTTTATATAAATATTAGTTTAGGATTAGCAAAAATTATATACTCAACAACAATTATGATTAATTAAAAAAATTTGGTTTATATATTATATTTTATATATAACTCTTTTTTACCAAACGACTGCCGTCCAATGCCATCGATGAGATTGAGCGAATTAATTTTAATCAATCACTTGATATTATTAAAAAAAAAAATTTAAAGGAGACATATGCGAAAGTACAGAAAATTTACTACAAATTTTCATACAATTTGCTTGGATTTGGATAAAGATTGAATATATTGAGATATATGCATAAACGAGCAAGATAAACACGAAATTACTTATTGTTTGCAAGCATTGTCGTGACTTTTGTCTTTCCTAGCTCATGTAACAAAACATTTTCAAACATCATTTGCAGTAAGAATGAATAAATACTCAAAGTTTTGTATAGACAAAGTGTCAGTACAAATTACCAAAGTTTAAAAGTATTTTAATTTCAAATAACTTTCACAATACTTATTAATTATTTTTAAAAAATTGACGTTCTAAATATCTCAAACTTTTTTTCTTACTTGACGAACGTAACCCCCGAGTGATATGGCAACATCGTTAATTTCAAGCTATCAGCTGTATTTTCTTCCTAACTAAGTAATTCATACACTATTTAATTACCCATGAATGAATTTGACAACTTTAGAAATAGCTTCTGAAGAAACTCATAGCTCGCAGAAGAACTATTTTAAGATTGTGCTTTCCGACACGAGCATCGTAATGAAAATTGTCATTTTTCCGTCATTGATTTTCCCTCGCCGTCTCAACTTAAATAGCTTCGGGGTCAGGAATTATAATAATGAATAAGAGGATATTTAATTATGAAAGTAAAAAAAAATTTAATTAAACTATTTTTCAAAGCTATGCGTGCAACTTGGCAAGTGCCAAGCGGAGAATATTATTATACAAATAAAATGGAAATTATTTAACGTAACGTTGCTCATCAGCCGCATTATTCGCGAATCTAAATGTCATTTTGAAAATACGCTGCACTGTTTGGAAATGCTATTATCGCGAGGTGTTAGCTAACTTAGGCTAATTATAATTACTATATGAACAGCATCTGAACAGTAACATGGCTAGCTAAAGTTCAGCATCGACACGTGCTCGCTCGTAGGGGCAAAAAAAAAAAAAAAAAAAAAAAAAAAAAAAAAAATGGAAGAGTTTTTTGAAGCTGGTCGCTCAAGGAGACGATGCAGCATAGCTTTTTATAACTTCATGGAAGCTTTCTTGCATATGCGCAGCATTCACCGAGAGTTGCAAATGTAGCTTGTTTTATCATTTCGACCTGATAACGTGCATTTAATGCATCCTGATGACTCCCTTTTTCTATATGTAATTTTATAAAAAAAATTTTTCCTATAAACATTATATCGCTTTTTACAAAAATTGGCTTTGGAATACCAATGAAATCATCAATGTTAATGTAATAATAGCGACTTTTCGTTTCCCTATTAATGTTTTTCGTATTATATCATATGAATTTTGAATCTACATCATCTTGGAAATCCAATTATTACATTTTGACGCTTTGTCCATGCATTTTCTTTTTATACTTATATAGTCGTACACGTGTATCGAATTATTATATTATATTAGTTACGACTATATTTTAACACAAAACACGGATATGACGCAAGACATTTATTTATACGAAAAATTATTGTTTTTAATATCGTAGATTGCTCTATGTGTTTATTAGATTTTAGAAAGTACATTGAATAGAGAGCAAATTCTTCGTATAATATTTGACTAATTTTTCCATAACAGTAATCTAAGGATGACAATATTATGATACTTTATATACTTTTATATATTTTGTATTTTTAGTAGATTTTTAGTAAAGTAGTATTATACTTTAAATAATGTTTGTATTAAAATTTCCCGCAATATAATTATTTATGATATTATTATTGAATATTCCCTTTAGACT